ATTGTGTTGAAACTCCTAATAAACCTCCGATAGAAAGTGGCTAATTCATGAAAACTCCAAACGTCCCTGATGTTCTTAGGTAAAGGCCACTCATTGATCGCTCTAATCTTTTCAGGGTCGGCTGAAATCCCTTGAAATGATATTATGAACCCGAGAAAAATAACACTATCTGTGAAGAACACACATTTCTTAGGATTAGCATATAACTGTTCTTTCCTCAAAGTCTCACAGACTTGTTTCAGATGACCTAAATGTTGGTCCACCGAGTTGCTATAGATTAAGATATCATCAAAGTATACGACGACAAATTTTCCTAGGAAAGGTCGAAAGGCTTGGGTCATAACTCTCATGAAGGTGCTTGGGGCGTTACTAAGACCAAACGGCATTACCATCTATTCGTACAACCCGTCCTTGGTTTTAAATGTCGTTTTTTCACTCGTCCACAGGGCGAATTCTGATTTGGTGATAACCACTTTTTAGGTCAATTTTAGAAAACATTGCGGCTCCGGTCATCATATCTAGCATGTCGTCAAGGTGAGGAATCAAAAAACGATACTTGACCGTAATTTTGTTGAAGGCTCGGCTGTCAACGCACATTCGTCAAGAGTCATCCTTCTTGGGGGTCAAAAGGCAGGGACAACACACGAGCTAAGACTCTCTTTGATGAATCCACGTTGCAGGAGTTCATCTACTTGCTTCTTCAGTTCAGTATGCTCCGTTGGGTTCATTCGGCAATGAGAGAGGTTTGGTAGGGAAGCTCCGGGTACTAAGTCGATGACGTGCTGGATGTCTCTAAGGGGTGGGAGCTGGTTGGGTAATTCTTCGGGGAAGACATCAGCAAAGGTCTCCATAAGAGGTTTAACTTCATCAGGGACAAGCTCTTCTTGCTCAGCATCAACTTCTCTAGCTACAAGGGCATACATGGGTGATCCTTGGTGAAGCTCAACGTCCACTTCTTTCGGAGTTAAGAAGTGTAAGCCTCTACTAGGTTTAACGGAAGTAGCCTTAACTTCGATCTTGTTGGATTTAGGTTGAGAGGGAATTAATTTGATGTTCTTGTCGTTGTGTTCAAACACGCAGGTGTTTGTTCTCCCATAAATGTGGATGTTGTTGTCAAATAGCCAAGGGCGACCAAGGATAATCTGCCCCACGTCCATTGCTAACACGTCACACCAGACTTTTTCTTGATATCCAACAAACTCGAGGGGATTAAGGCTTCTGTCTTTTATTTCCATGGATGTAGAATTAATCCATGCAACCTTATAAGGATTTGGGTGGGGTGTTGTCTTTAAGTTACATTTGGAAACCATAGCGGAAGAGACGGCGTTGATGCAGCTCCCACTATCGATTATGACTTTATAGTTTTTATCTCCAATCTTGATAAAGGTATGAAAAATGGAAATCCTACGCCAGTCATCACTTGGTTTAGGTTGGGAAAATGTGCATCCTCGGTGAAGGAGTCTTCTTCCTCATCAACATGATGAACTAAATCAGTCTCAGGTTCGTCCTCGTCTTCATCCACTTCTTCAATTATGATGACCTTATAGGGACTAGAACATTGCGATGCAATGTGCCCAGACCCATGACACTTATAACACTTGGTTCCCGAAGTGGCTTTGGGAGTGTCAAGTTCGGGGGCTTTACCTTTAAAGTCCGGACGAGGTGGGGCTGGACTAACAGTTGGTCGGTTAGCCATAGAGCCCGTGGGTCAATTTTGGGGTTGGCCGGTGGAAGTTCTATACGGAGTTGGGCGGGAGTCAAAATGCTTAGAGTGAGAATGGGTCCTAGACTCCTCAAGGTCAAGTACAAGAATAAATACTACTTCTAACGTGTCTATTCCTCTTGCAAAAAGCTCATTTCAGAGATCTTCCCTAAGGCCAGCTCTAAACATTGATAGGATTTGTGTGGGGGTAGAGGATTCTTCGCCATTGCAACGGATCAGGAAATCGTCGAAGGCGGAGATGTAATCTTTCACGAGCTTGCTTCCCTGGATCAGCCTATTCCATTTATCTAAGAGCTTGGGGTAGTAGGAAGAACGAAGGTATTTTCTTTTAAGCTCTTGCTTCATAGCTCATCAGTCGGTGATAGGGTGTTCACCTCGAACTTCACGCCTGTTTTCCAAATTTGTCCAGTATAGGCTGGCTCGACCAGTGAGTTTCATTTCGGCAAACCTAACTTTCCTAGCTTCCGAAATGTTGTACCATCTGAAATAGCTATCCATCGCTTTGAGCCAATCTAATAATACTTGAGGGTCGAGGGTACCATCGTATGACAAGACATCAATTCTGATGTTCTTAAGCAACTGAGCGTCGTTATCTCTCCAAGGGGACTCATTTCCTACGTAATCTTGATTGGGTCTAGGGTTATGACGGTAGTGATCTCGTTGTAGTCCATGATCGGTTCGAGTGTCATCACCATAAGGTGATTGCGGCCTAGAAGGGCTACAAATAGCGGGGTTTCCTATACGCTTGATGTTATCTAGTCGATCACTTGTTTGGCGCCT